AGCCTGTATATCCTATGATATAAAAAGACCCTAGCTCATGCCCCTCACTCAGAAAAATGTCACTGTCTAGCTGGCTGCCACTGGAAACAGCTGGTTTTTGTTTGTCCTTTGTAAGTAACTCCCCTTGTTGACAAATCATCCCTTTTATTTTATTTTCTGTAATAAACTAATGTCTCTCAGATTGTGTTCTGGTCATTGTTTTTTAGGTCTCTTGGCAACTACATATGCAGAAGGCTTTTACCTTCTGGACCTAACCTCCAACATCATACAACTCTTTCTGTTAGGAATCTGAATCTTGAGAAGCGATTCAGAGAGGTAGAAGTCAGTCATTCTGGTTGCAGTGCAATAGTAGCTTGTTGTTAGTTGAACTATATCCACCAAAGAAAAGTGTTGAAATTCAACCCCCTGAACCAGTTAGTAAGGAGCCTGGGTAGCACTGTAGGATAAGCACTGGACCACTAACCACAAAGTCAGCAGTTCATACCCACTAGTGGCTTCATAGGAGAAAGATGAGTCTGTCTGCTCCAGTAAATATTTACAGTTTCAGAAACTCTATACAGGATCACTATGGTAGTAGGGAGGAGCTCTGGTATTGTAGTGGTTATGAGTCAGGCTGTTAACCTCAAGGCCAGCAGTTTGAAACTACCAGCCATTCTATTGGAGAAAGATGAGGCTTTCTGCTCCTGTAAAGATTTGCAGCCTCGGAAACACTATAAAGGGTCACTATGAGTTGGAACCAACTTCATGGTACACAACAATCATGGTAATAGGTGCCAGTTGGACCAATGCTCTACATCCTGTTTTCCTTACCACCTTAATGCTGTGAGCTATCCTGGACCATGTTCATGATTTTCTGTTCTAATGCTTTTTTGTTATTTTGTTTTATTTTGGTTTGCTGAAGTAAGTCAGACTTAATTTTCTTCAAGGAAAAGATCTATAAGCTATACAAAGAATCAGAACGGTATACATTTGCACCATGATGAAAGGTATAGACATTGGGGGTACTTGGGGTATTTGAAAATGTTGACTAAGTGTAGACATATCTAATTGTTGTTGTTAAATCCCATAGAGTCGATTCCAATTCATACCGATCCTGTATAGGGTTTCCAAGGAGCAGCTAGTGGGTTTGAGCTGTGGTTCACAGTCCAGTGCTGATTCTATAGCACCATACCAGACATATCTAATAGAGACTATAAATAGCACATTTGTTTATTCTTCTTCAAACCATTTTCCTGGTAGCCAGTTATCTCCAGCTGTGAGTGAACCCAGGACAAAGTAAGATTTCCCAGTTTGCACACATTCCTAGATAACTTGCTCTCTTACTCAGCTCTAATGATGCTGCAGAAACTGCAGAACGTGAGTGTTAATGTCAGAGCAAGCATTGGGCAAGGCCTTTGGCAAACTCCACGAGGAAACCAACAAAATTTCATCAAAGATCCCTTAGATTATGGAGCAAATCGGAGGATTAGTGGTGAGATGGAGTTTTGGGAAAAACCAACCAAAACCATTGCCATCAAGTCAATGCTATCTCAAAATCATGTGAGATTAACATTATCATAGTTTAACAAAGTTAAAGAGTAGCATTATCATAGTTAAAAAAAAAAAAAAAAGGAGTTACTGTTGCTTTCTGAAATTACCTTTTGCATCTTTATTTTCTTATACATTTGCACCTATCATCCTCTCCTCCACCCCTACTTATCTGCAGCAGAGAATACCAACTATAAGCGATAAAGGGAATATTCTGACATCTTCACTACTTTTTCAATAATATTAAGATAGTTTCAAGCATGCTTGATACACAGTACATACATTTTAAATATATGAGAATGCACCAAGACTATGTGAATATATCTAGAATAAATTCTTACCAGTAAGGCCCTACTGTCAAAGAGGTTCAAAATAATGGCTGGCTTGATGATGGTTATACAAACTCAACAACATGGTTTCCTTTCACCAAGGCTGATCTGCCTTGTCATTGATGAAAATTATTTTGATACATATCATACCTACTAGAAACCTTATATTTTTTATATCTATTTTGAATGGGGTTTTCATAATTCTTTTTCATTTATTACTTGACTATTTTTAGTATATAGGAATACTGCTGAATTTTGTACTTTTGTATTGTATTTGTCAACTTTGCCAAACTATTTTCTTAGTATAAATGATTCATTTGTAGATCTATTAAATTTTTAAATGATAATTTGATTTTATCTACAAACAAGGAAATTTTTTTTCTATCCATATTGTTTTTGTTAAGTGCCATCGAGTTAGTTCTGACTCATAGTGACCCTATATAGGGTTTCAACTGTTGAGTTTGAACCACAAACCTTGCAGTGCAAACCGGCTTTGCAGTCTAGTGCTTATCATACAGTGTCACTCTAGAACTCCACAAAAATAAATAAATAACTATTGAATAAAAATATTGAAACATTCATGTTTTAATTATTTAATTTTTTAAAACAAGTTATATTATTAAGTGTTCTAGTATTAAGAATTCTTACATACTCTACTAAGGTAGAATTTTAATAAATATGATGTATCAAAATTTAACTTATGAATGTACTCTTTATGTTCATATGTGAGAGTAATATATATTAGCTTCTTGTACTTAATCTTATTTTACATATTAATAGCTTTATTGAGTGAAAGACAAATATTACATGAGACCATTGCTATAAAAAGTCAAGAAAGTTTTACACATGGAAAGAAATATTCTTTGAAGTTTATCAGAGTGGAGGAGGTAAAGCAGGGTAAATAACAAGAGGGTATTGTTGTTGTTGTTAGGTGCAATCAGGTCAGTGCCAACTCACTGGAACCCTTTTCACAACAGAACGAAACACTGCCCGGTCCTGAACCAACCACACAATCATCGCTACACCCCAGTCCATTGTTGCTGCCACTGTGCTAATCCATCTTGTTGGGGGTCTTCCTCTTTTTCTCTGACCCCTCACCTTACTGAACATGATATCCTTTTCCAGTGACTGGTCCCTCCTGATAATATGTCCAAAATATGAGAGATGACATCTGGCCATCCTGTCTTCTATGGAGCACTCTGGCTGCACTTCTTACAACACAAATCTGTTTGTGTTTTTTAGCAGTCTATGGTACATCCAATATTCTCCTCCAACACCATAACTCAAATGCACCAATTCTTCTATGGTCTCCCTTATTCAATGTCCAACTTTCACATGCATATGAGGTTACTGAAAATAGCATGGCTTGGATCAGGTGCACCTTAGTCCTCAAACTGCTGTCTTTGTTCTTCAACACTTTAAAGAGATCTTGTGCTGCAGATTTGCTTAATACAATACAGTATTTGATTTCTTTACTGCTGCTTTCATGAGTGTTGATGGTTGATCCAAGCAAAATGAAGTCTTTGACAACTTCAACCTTTTCTCCATTTATATGGATGTTGTTTATTGATCCAGTGGTGAGGATTTTTATTTTCTTTACATTGAGATGCAACCCATACAGAAGGCTTTGATGAAATACTTGATGAGGTCTTTGATCTTCATCAAGTATTTAAAGTTGTCTTCACTTTTAATAAGCAAGGTTGTATCATCTGTATATTGTAGGTTGTTAATGAGTCTTCCTCCAATTCTAGTGCCACATTTTTCTTTATATAACCCAGCTTCTTATATTATTTGTTCAGCATACAGATTGAATAAGCATGGCAAAAGACTGCAATCCTGGTCCACACCTTTCCTAATTTCAAACCATTCAGAGTCTGTTCAATAACTGCTTCTTTGTCTATGTACAAGTTCCTCATGAGCACAAGTAAGTGTTCAGGAATACTCATTCTCTGCAATGTTGTCCATAGCTATTCATGATGCACATGGTCAAAAGACTTTGCATACTCAATAAAGACCAGATAAAAATGTTTCTGATAGTCTCTGCTTTCAGCCAAGATTCAACTGACATCAGCAATGATATCCCTCGTTCCGTGTCCTCTTCTGAATCCAGCTTGAACCTCTGGCCATTCTTTGTCAATGTATGAATGTAGCCATTTTTGTAATACCTTTAGTAAAACTTACTCACATGGGATATCAATGACCAAGGATGATTTCCGAATTCTGTTGGGTCACTTCTCTTTGGAATGCGCATAAATAGTGATCTCTTCCAGTCAGTTGGCCAGGTAGTTGTCTTCCAAAT